TGAGAAGTGACCGTGAGATGCAGGTGCCCGGAGGTCAGCGGCAACCGCGCACAGGAGTCTCAGCGGGTGCTGGGGTGGGAAGCCTGACGCCCTCCCATCGGGGAATCCCAGCGCAGCACATCAAGGGATCCACGAGGCTGAGAAGTGCAATGCGGTTAGTGGAGAAGGTGGAAGAACTCTCTCCACTAAGTGAGTATGTGGAGAGACGGCACTATGGCCACCTCGAGGAGGTGCGTGCCTCTTCCTTTGTAGGGGGTGCCTGTTGTTGTGGGGGGTGCTCAGCATGTGCCTCCGGATGTCGTCCATTCTACTGATCCATATGGCTCATCTGGTTGCAACGACTATGTGAGGGCAGAGGATATGAAGGCAGTTGTACCCATCATTTTCAGAAAAGGTAGATTGAAACAAGTCTCTAGCATGAACATGAGTGAGGAGAAATTGAACTCCAACCTGGTAAATTTTCTCCTGATAAATATAGTTTATTAGATTCTAGACTATTAACTCCAATATTTTTAAAAATTCTTTTTAACATTTATTTATTTTTGAGACCGAGAGAGACAGAGCATGAACAGGGGAGGGGCAGAGAGAGAGGGAGACACAGAATCGGAAGCAGGCTCCAGGCTCCGGGCCATCAGCCCAGAGCCCGACGCGGGGCTCGAACTCACGGACCGCGAGATCGTGACCTGAGCTGAAGTCGGACGCTTAACCAACTGAGCCACCCAGGCGCCCCTATTAACTCCAATATTAAGCCCAAGATACATTTGTTAACTTTAGTGGTTAAAACAGCAAGTCCCTTTCTCCATGGGGCATTATACCATTTTCTTTATCACTTAGGTATTCTGTTAGTTCGACACCATGGGAAAAGGGATGCTAGAATAGAGAATTTAAGGGATGGCAAGAATTCTGAAATATTCACAACCTATAGTCTTGGATAGAACACACAATGTAGCTAGTGGGGTTGTGAAAGAACCTGTCTGGACACCGGAGACCTGGGTTCTATCCCATGTAGCACAGTTTATAAAAACCAGAGAGACCTAGGTTCCAGTCCAAATTTTGCTGCTTACTGACATTGATCAAGTCATTTAAACACCCTCAGCCTCAGTTTCCTGAGGAAATAAAATGGAAACAATGGTGGTTGTGAGAACTAAGTGATTTAATATGCGTAAAGCACTTAGCCTTGAGCATAAGATACGGGGAAACCCCAGCAGATGATGATGGTGGTGGTGGTGATAACAATGAAACCAGCGATGATGTGATATGATGTGATGATGATGGTGGTGACGATGGAGGTGATGGTGATGATGGTGATGGTGATGATGATGATGATGAGGGTGATGATGAGGATGGTGATGATGGTGGTCATGATGGTGATGGTGGTGGTGACAATGATGATGATGATGGAGATGATGGTGATGATGACGGTGATGATGAGGGTGATGATGAGGATGGTGATGATGGTGGTCATGATGGTGATGGTGGTGGTGACAATGATGATGATGGAGATGATGGTGATGATGAGGGTGATGATGAAGGTGATGATGAGGATGGTGATGATGGTGATGATGAGGGTGATGATGAGGGTGATGATGAGGGTGATGATGAGGATGGTGATGATGGTGGTGGTGACAATGATGGTGGTGATGGTGATGTGATGGTGATGATGATGATGTGATATGTGACGATGATGTTGGTGATGATGATGAATTAGAGAAGAGGAGCAGACAGAGGAGAAAGGAAGAAGAAATGAAGGAGACTGTAGTTGTGATGGTGGGGATAGACAGTGGTCGTGACAGGGGCAACTCCCAAGTCTACCAGTAAGAAATAGTTCCCTGGACCCGGAACTTTGCCTGCTGCACAACAGGCACTCAGTAAACACTAACTGAATGAAGCAGTGCTCTGATAATTTCTAGAGCTCACCCAGCTCCACATCATTCAATAATCCTGTGAATGTCATAATCTTTCCTGGATCTCAACATTTAAACTTGTGATATTAAAAAAATGAGGGGCACCTGGTTGGCTCAGTCGGTTAAGTGTCCAACTTGGGCTCAGGTCATGGTCTTGTGGTTTGTGGGTTTGAGCCCCACGTCGGGCTCTGTGCTGACAGCTCAGAGACTGGAGCCCATTTCGGATTCTGTGTCTCCCTCTCTCTGCCCCTCTCCCTCTTGCACTCTGTTTCTCTCTCTCTCTCTCTCTCTTTCAAAAATAAACATTAAAGGGGTGCCTGGGTGGCTCAGTCAGTTAAGTGTCCGACTTCAACTCAGGTCATGGTCTTGCTGTTTGTGAGTTCGAGCCCTGTGTCAGGCTCTGTGCTGACAGCTCGAAGCCTGGAGCCTGCTTCAGATTCTATGCCTCTCTCTCTCTCTCTCTCTCTCTCTCTCTCTCCCCCTCCCCCACTCACACTCTGTCTCTCTCTCTCAAAAATAAATAAACATTAAAAAATTTTACAAAAGAATGAATTATTTATGGTAATTGTGAAAAATCAATTATAAACAATCACTGCAAAGCTACTTCATTCATTTTAAGCTACTGAATTTTAGGGAACAGGAAGAAAGGGAATGATCAGGAGGAGAAATGAATGAAAGAATAGTGTAGGGGGGACAGCTAACAGTCACGTGTAGGGAAGAACAATCATGTTCCCTTACACTCTGGATGGTGCCTGGTCTTTGGGGAGACCGGACCACCTGCTTACTATGCAGCAAAACATCAAGCTCAATGTGCACATTTATAAAGGAAGAGCACTCCTAAGAAAGCTCCTGGACACCAAAGCCATGCTTGTTTAGAACTGTAGGTGGTCTTCATGAATAGAATTAACCTGCCAAATAGGCAGGCGGGGCATTTTCTGCTGGGCATGAGGCCACTTCTCAGTTGCTTGTATTAACGCCCAACTTTGTGGATAAGGAAACGTTGGCTTGTTTCCTCCGGCCAGAGAGCCAGCACGCCTCTGGAAGAGCTCACTCATCTGCAGTGTGAATTAGCTCATGAGGTACAAACTCCTTACGACCAACACAGTTCCAGCAGAAACTCACCTGCTATTGTGGCTCCAGATCTCTGCTTACTTATTTTTTATTTTCATTGTTTTGCTTACAGAAAGCTGAGTGAGGACAAGTCAGCAACTATGGGCACCCTAACAAACAGATATAGGTATATTATTTTAGGACTTCACGGAGTCTTTTCAGGGCTCCCTCTGACCTGCTCTGAGCCCCATAACTCTGGTTCTGTGTTCCTCTTCTCCAACTTGTTTTATGCCTAGATTCTGCCTCTCTCCCGACTGTTCTGCCTCTCTCCCTCCCTTCCTTTCTCTCTTCCTTTCTCTCCAGTTGCTTTTCTTCATGACCCATGGAGACTGTCTCTCAGCTAATCTTTGGTTTTCCCATTCAAGGTTTAGCACACTCTAGACTGACATTACAGAGTCTATTCTCTTCTTTCTATAGTTGGTTAACTCCTAGCCATTCTTGAAGACTAAGTTTCCTCACCATCTGTGACATGCCTTCTCTGTGCATTCTGTGTCGGAATCAGCACTGGTCACTCATCGTTTGTTCTGCTTCTCGAATATGGCTTTACACTCATTAAGAAGAGAGTAATCACCTTTCATTCCCAAGATTGGGCACGGAGCATGCTAGTTTCCACCTGCTTATGCCATGGGCAAACACAGACTGAAACCAGGTGCTAGATCTCCCTCAGAACCAAAGACAAAATTACTTCCTTCATCAAACAAAAAGACCCTGGCTCTGTCCATGTTTGGGATTTCTGTGATCACCCCCCCCCCCCCCCCCCACACACACACACCTGCTATTCCCAGCATGCTGCTGTCATTTATCCCCAGTTCCTCTGTAGAAAATACATCCCCTCTGGGATGCATCTACTTCTCTCCATTTTAAACAAGCTAATCTGAGGATCAGACACGAATACTAAGGTCACAGTTGACGACAGAAGAAAAGCTATAGCTCTAGTAGGAGACTAATGGCCAAGAGTTGTTGCTAGTTGATTTTTGAGAGTTTGCGAAGCATGAGAAGCATCTGAGAGGCAGTGTGACAGCAAGAGAGCACAATAACACGGTGTCACTCAACAAGACAGTGGTGGGAAGGGCACTAAATGGGAAGTCAGGAGACAGGCCTCCAAATACATCTGTGGCAACAGTGAGCTCTGTGACCTCAAAAAAAAAAACCCCACTTAACCTCCCTGGTCCTCGTTTATTATAAAAGCCAGATTTGAACTAGACCTCGAGCGTTCCACTAGAAAAGCTCTTTGATCTGAGGATTAATTTTCAAGCGCATCCCATGGAGGCTCCATCAGTGAAAACATCTGCGGAGATAACGGGAGAGGGGCGCGGACTGGACTGCTTCAGGGGAGGGAAGAAAGCCCTCAGAGGATGGTGCAGGTCATTCCCACCTTCCCTCCCATGACTGAGCTCTAAAATGAGCTCAGCCCCAACTAGATGAAATTGATTGTGTCCTGGACCAAAAACTGCATCACGAACGTACTGCCGTTTGCCTCCAATTCTGTTTTGTTGTTTTAAAACTCTCCCCAAGCAAGACACGTAGATTACATCCAGACTGACGTTCCAGAGGAGAATGAATTTAGCTGCAGATGTGCACCAGTCTCCACAGTTCATTGGTGGCACTCGGGAAGAATCCTTGGAGTTCCCTTCGGCCCCTCTATCCAGTGGGGAGTGAAAGCAGGGGCCGTACAACAGGGAATAAAGAACACGGAGAAGGAGGAACGCGCAGCTGTGTCTCTGCCTGTTCCTGTTGCTTAGCAACACCTCCCATCTCCATCTGAGAAATAATGATTCAGGGAGGTGACGCAGAGGACCCATTTCTCATGAAGGCACAGCCCCATTTTACCAGCTACACATTTTCTTAGAATGATAATAAGATGATTATCACAGCAAGATCTCTGCACACCACCTCTACAGCCAGAGAGAGAACGTGACACGCTAGCTACCAAACCCAAACTAGGGAAGAGGAGCTTCCCGTGCACACGCAGGGCTCAGGACTCACCGCTTATCCACTTGGCCTCGGGGTCATGAATTTTGAAATCATCACTGAAGAGATCTTCCACTGTGACCTTCTTCTTCTGAGACAGACTATTATCTTCCGCTAGAAAAGAACATGGCAAATAGTTGAGCCTTTTATTTGTTGGTAGAAAGAGAGGACCATAAAGCATTCTGGTTGCCGTTCATAACTAGTACGTATGGTAAAACATATGCTTTCGACACATAACATAAAGGCTGAACGAAAGCCAGTCACGCTTTTTTTTTTTTTAATTTTTTTTCAAGGTTTATTTATTTTTGGGACAGAGAGAGACAGAGCATGAACGGGGGAGGGGCAGAGAGAGAGGGAGACCCAGAATCGGAAACAGGCTCCAGGCTCTGAGCCATCAGCCCAGAGCCCGACGCGGGGCTCGAACTCACGGACCGTGAGATCGTGACCTGGCTGAAGTCGGACGCTTAACTGACTGCGCCACCCAGGCGCCCCACGCTTTTTGTTTTCAATTAAAATATCAACAGCTGTGGTAAGGAGACCATGATGCAGGAAAATGGCACCCTTTCTCTCCCTCTACTTGAACACATAAATGATCATATTTCTTAGCAACGGAGGTAAACGTTTCAAGACTGATTTATGAACAACAAGGTGGGAATGGTCAAGAGAGGAAGGAACAAATGTCCAGAATGGATCTCAACTTTATTAAATGCCAACTACTGGGAGCACGTTGGGTGCTGGGGATGAAAAGGCAGGTAACATCTCTTAGGTATTTATTCTCCACATGCCTCACTTGTCCCTGGCTGTCTCTGGGCTGCGAATCAGTTCCTGTTCAGACAGGCTCACACCTCAAATGTCTGTGTGCACACTACCAGATTCTGGCTTGCTTCATCTCGATCACTTGGCAGTAAGCACATGAGATGAGCCTTGAAGGTACTAATCTAATATCCATCCCAAGAGGAGATGTTTAGTTAATGGCACCAGTGGGTGAGACTGTAGAAATCTGGCGATGTCTTCGCCAGAGGTTGAAGCCAACAGATTAAACCCACAAGGATAGCACCCCAAACCGCTCTCACTTCTGTTATACTGGTAACATTATTAACCATTTCTGATGTACGTCATCCATCTAGAATTAGGCACTTCCGTTCCTGCCTTCCCGAATAGAAGGTGCCAACTTTTGGGGGCACTTCTCTTGAAGACTTAGAGCCCTCAGCCATTAGTTCTATGTTGTGCTGGTGGGTGCAGCTGTCCTCAGTGCCAACCAAGGTGTTTGGTGTGTGTGCATCCTATGTGAGGTGGTTCCAGATCCATGTTGGTTTTACATTTTCGTGTCTGGTTGTCATGTCTGCCTTTCTTTCCAATTTCTGCCTGTTGAGCCAGCTTCCACTGTGTGGGCTGTCACAGAACATGCCCTCAACAGTGCCCTCTGCCTCTTTTAATTTTCTGTTTCCAGATCTGTGGCAGGTTGGGAAAACAACAAGGATTTTTGTTAGATGACATAACATGAATAAATACCCTCTGAATGAAATCCTCAGAGCTTCTTGTAGGATTCTAGTGCACAGATTGTTTTTTTAATTTTTAAATGTTTATTCATTTTATTTTTGAGAGAGAGCACGTGTGTGCAAGCGGGAAGGGGGGGAGAGAGAGAGAGAGAGAGAGAGAGAGAGAATCTCAAGCAGGCTCTGTGCTGTCAGGGCAGAGCCTGAAGCGGGGCTCAAACCCACGAACCATGATCGAAGCCAAAATCAAGAGTCAGACATTTAACCACCTGAGCCACCCGGGTGCCCCATCTAGCACATAGGTTTTATTACATCTCCTATATGGTTTCTTTCTTTTGGCCTCTTTGGATGTTATCGATTACTGAAGTTGTCAGAAAAGTCATGTGTTACTTTGTGCATTGACTGATTTCTTGAATATCACAGAGGACTAATGTGTGTAAAAGTCTTTCGAAAATTACAGAATGATACCTTTCAAAGTGGCCTTCTCATTAAACCTGAGTGTATGTGGAGCTCTCCCCGGTGCTGAACAAAACATGTTAAACTAAACCCAATTCTCCCCTGTAGGACCTTTCCATCTGCAACTGAAGCAGCCCCGGAAAAAGACACAAATAAGTGCATTTCAGTATGAAAAACAAACAATAAATGAACATTTTAAAGACAACCAGACATCGATCTAGTGAAGTTACACTTTGGTCCAGTGATTAAGAAACATATTTGCAACTAGTTGATGAATAGGTCCTGGAGATCTAATGCACAGTATATGGAATATAGACAATAATCCTGTATTATAAACATAAAAATTGCTTAGGGATTAGATCTTAATTATTCCCACTGAAAAAAATAAATCATAATTTTGTGACCTGACAAAGGTATTAGCGAACTCTTCAAAGGCAATCATATTGCAATATATAAATGTATCCAATCAACAAGTTGCACACTTTAAACTTACACAATGGTACATGTCAACTATATTTCAAAAAAAGATTAAAACAATAAAGCAAAAACTAAGCATAGAAATTTCTGAAGCATATAGTCAGGAAACAAACAGTCCTATTAAAGCTTAAACTTTATCTGAGTAACCTTCGCTACTGTAGGATGATTCTAGCTCACCTTTTGAAGTAACCATGCATCTCATGAGAAGAGAGTAGAAGGCTGCAATTTACACAAACTTTGGGTAAAAGATGAAAAGGTACATAATTCACTTTCTGAAAAATCCCTCTTTTTACAAACCACTGTTCTATTAATCTACAAATGCGTTTCACTTTTTTAAAAACTATTGCTTTGTTTTTAAATTTTTGTAATGTGTACTTATTTTTGGGAGAGAGAGAGAAACAGAGCGTGAGCAGGGGAGGAGCGGAGAGAGAGGGAGACACAGAATCCAAAGCGGGCTCCAGACTCTGAGCTGTCAGCACAGAGCCCGACGCGGGGCTCGAATTCACAAACCGCGAGATCACGACCTGAGCGGAAGTCAGACGCTCAACTGACTGAGTGCCCACTATTGCTTTGTTTTTAAAAGGTTATTTTAACATCATGACTTTTACCTAGGGACGGTTTGTGGTGAAGGCGTTGTGATGTACGCCATGAAACTGCTCTGGTGACACCAGGACACTGGACTCTGTCAGGGATCAGTTCTGACTCCTTAAGATGCTCCCCGCTGGCCTCTCTGGACCTTGATGGCTTGTTCACATATTCGGCTGCTATCTAATGAAATCACTGAGTAGTACTTTGATGCATTTCAAAGATCCTTTGAGGTGGTGACAAGCATGCACGACTGTCACGCCCCAGGAACCAGCCTGAGCCTGAGGAATCACAAGGGAAGACTTTATGGAACTCAGAGAGCCACAATGTTGCAAGAGCGTCAGTGCTGAGAGCAGGGGGGCTGGCCCTGAGGAGGGAGAATGAAATGGGAGGAACTCTGGAGAGAATTCCCCGAGGAAAGCGCCTGCTAGCCCAGATAAAGACACAAAAGAAGAACTTTCGAGCTAGAAGGAGGGCAAGGGCATGAAGGTATCAGTGAATGCGGCATTCTCAGGAAATCGTGTGTGCTGTTGCTGGTGCAGGAGACAGTGTGATGGAAATATTGAGAGACAAAGGCAGAGTCTCTCATTATATTTGATATTCTGAAATTTCACGAGAAAATGTCCACTTGTGGGGAGGCTGGGTGGCTCAGTCGGTTGAGCATCCGGCTCTTGGCTTGGGCTCAGGTCATGATCTCCGGGTTGCTGGGATTAAGCCCCTGGCAGGGCTCTGCGCTGACAATGCGGAGCCTGCTTGGGATTCTCTGTCTCCCTCTCTGTCCCTCCCCCACTCTCACTCTCTCTCTCAAAATAAATAAACATTAAAAATAAGATAAAAAACAAATAACAAAAGAAAGAAAATGTCTACTTGTGGATTTTATTTAAAAATCATGCTTACCACCCAATAACGTTATCAGTCTAAGAATCACTTTCTCCTTATCAGGAAGGCTGTAGTGATGATCTCATTTAATACTATTTCTCCTTCAACCTAGCCCTCCCTTCCAGGGTGCGGGCAGACCCTGTGTGAGAGCTGTGGGGTCCCACCACCACCTCCCTGGTGTTTTCCACATTTTTATTTCTTTGGGGGAATTTGCATGATTTCTTCCTTTCGATTTTTCCATCTTGTTACTGTTTTTAGCATTATTTAGAGAGCTTCATCCTGCAACTGACTTTTAAAATTTCAAACAATTACATTTTAGTTTCTATTATTCCTAAACAGCTCCTTTTCAAGATCATCTACTCTTCTAGTTGTAAGCTCCTCTATCACATTGATAATTTTTTTTAAACCTAAAATGTCATTTTCTGATTGCCCTATTCATTTATATTTCTTTGGACTTAAGTTCTCGTGTGTGTTAAGCTAGTGTTCTGCTTTGTAGGGGATAGTTTCTGGGGGTCCTTGTATTTCTTAGTAGTAAGCTTCTGCCCTGCAAGTGTCCTGGGTCACGAGAGACCCTTGGTGGTGTGGTTGTGGTCAATGTCCTGGGCACTTTGAGGCTCTGTCTGGGCCCCGTGTGGCCATTTGGGCTGGACCTGGGCAGCCCTACGTGGCTGATGTGATTCAAGAGCCTCTGAACACGAACCCAGTTTTCAGGCAGGATGCACTTGTCCCGTCCCTGGCCCCTCACGAACACCAATATCCTAGCCCCTCCTGTTGGATCGGACGTCATTCTCTGCCCCTTGAGGGTGGCAGGAGTTTGGTCTTACTTGGTACTTTAGGTTTTTGCCTGGTCCTTCTTTCGAAGACACCTTTCTGCTCCAGGTATATACAACACTCTTGTTTTTGAGTGCAGCTATGTTTTTATTTATTTTCTCTCATTTCTACTTGTTTCAACCCAAAAGGGAAAGATTTCTGTGCTCAATCTGACATCTTAAACCAGAAGTCAACATGCAAATGGAGATACACAAAGTGGCCCGTGGCTCTTCTGGATTGGCTTTCACCCCTAAGGCAATTTGGGGATGAATTTCATTTAGCCCCAGAGTCAGATGACCACGTAGCACTTGCAAAGCACGTGGCATCCCAGTCAGCTCACCGGCATGCAAAGGCACTCCATAGTCTGTAGTGAGGCTGTTATCTTTATGTAGGTCAGAATATAATGCAAAT